TTACTTTACTCCTCTGATGGACAGTATACATTCTGCACATTTAGTATGAGTAGTGTGGTGCCGTTCCAAACATAGCTCATGACTCAGTTCTTGCCCCAGATTCATTCTGCTTCTCGAGTCTTATTGAGAATCCCCAGCGCTTGTGTCCTTGTTTCACCTGTGGAACAGACTAAACCGCTTCACACACGCTTTTAGCCTTTAATGTCTGTTTACAAGGCTGTTTTCTAGTTTAATTATAGTGTCATTTAAAGAAAGGATGTGGGGGCGAGACAGACAGACAGGAAGAAACCTAATTATACTGTGTCCTCTGGGATTGTTTGTGTGTGTGGCTGTATTTGGAGTAGCATAGTATCATACTACTGTACTCGAACTATTTATACAGTAGTACCAGTGTTTTTAATGTGAACACAAATAACAAAACCAAACATTGATTCAAACACAACCCCAATGATCTTATTCCTAAATCACAACGATTCGACTGTCTATTAAACCTTTGACAAATCCGATCACAGCGGAACATTTAAATCTGAATCTACTTGATACTTCAAATTACGATTGTATCGATTACATTGTTACACCAGTAGGTGGCGATTTGACTATTAAAAAATAGATTTGTCATTTAATCATTCAAGATATTCTTTCAAAAACGATGATTCATCCAGTTATGAAACAAGTGAAGTCTTTATGAGTGAGTCATTGAATCATTCATTCAACCCGATTAAAAAAAAAAAAATCTAATTAATTAAATATTTAATTAAAAATTTATATTTCATATTTAAAGGAGGCTGCAGCAATTAACAATGTGTCAGAACCTCTAGTAAATGTGGGAGAATCGTGATCTATATAAAAAAACATGATTCTTAATTTATCCATAATCGTGCAGCCTCTAACCAAAACTATGTATAAAAAAATTGTTAATTGAAATAAACCTGGAAGAAAATAGAATATAAATATAAAAAACTTAAACTTAAGAAAAAATAAATGACATAGAAATGTTACTTTGGCAAATTTAAGTTGAAATAACATTACTAAAACTGAAACAAAAATAAATTAAAGTTTAAATATAATAAAAATATATTTTTAAAGAAAAAACACATGAGCTTAAGTTACAATTTAAACTGAAAATTATAAAAACAAAGCCTAATTCAAAGTATTACTATAATACTAAATAACACTGCTTTATACTGTATTTTTTTTTAAAACATGGAATCTCCTTCTTGACTTATTTGATCAGACTGCCCTGCCAAAACGTTACATAAATTACACAAAGAGCAATCTGTGCATTTAACCATTATAACTGAATACCACTTGCTGAATTAAACATGTCACACAGCTGTTTCACATCATTATATAATATATACTATGCAGTACGCTAGTCCTCGATTCCAAACATAGTCTGTATGTGCTGACAGTAAACATCAGTCATTGGCTTTCTCCCAGGATGCTTTGCTGAAATATTGATGCGTCAGCGTCTATGTGCAGGTAGGCGGAGCTTCAGTCAGAAGCTCCTGGCCAATGAATTCCTCACCAGTGTGAATACATAATGACCCAGACTCGTCCTGAGCTCTGTTGCCATGGTGACCGGAGTGTGGGGGGTCTGGATGGAAAGGTCTCTGTTAAACGAGAGCATCTTCACTGCTGAGATGTGTGTGTGTGTGTGTGTGTGTGTGTGTGTGTGTGTGCGTGTGTGTGTGTGATGACGAAGCGTCATGCTGACGGTCTCCCTGAGGCCAATGTCTATTTTAAACTGGCACGAAAAGGCATCTCTCTGTTTCTTTCTTTCTCTATACTGTATTTTATTTTCCATCACTACTGTAATAGTATATACCATGTACAAGCAGTCTAAATATGTGTAAAGGGTTCTGCTCCATTTTATTTAAATTTCTTTTTCATTTCATTTTGTCAAAAATATTTATTATATTATTGGTACTGAACTACTACAACTGAAATGAAAATAAAGTTAGACAGAAATATTTTTAAAAAATCAAAAACTAAAGAAATGACAAAAGCACATAGAAAAATGATTAACATTAAAAATTATTAATTACCTGCCTGAGTGTGGAAAGGGTTGAGCATTTATTTAGGTTTTTTTATGACTTTCTTCTTTCAGCCGTACAAAAAGTGAAAAAAGAGTTATATTAAAAAATATCCTGGCTCTTACCAGCTTTATAATGACATTGAATTATTTTTGAAGCTCAAAAAGCGCATCCATCCATCATAAAAGTAATCCATATGACTCCAGTGGGTTAATAAAGGCCTTCTGAAGTGAAGCGATGCGTATTTTAAAGAAAAATATACATATTCATAACTTTATAAACTATAATCACTGGCTTCCGGCAACAGCCGTACGCGCGTTCATGAGAGAGTCGAGTTCTGGCGGAAGAGTGACCTCTGACCCGACGCGTGATGAGGCGTTGCATAAGCGTAGGTGAGAATTGACGAACGCGGACGTGAAGAGGACTAGCGGCGCCAGGATTTTAATTGTAGGTGGGCCTCCAGAAAACTGAATGGGCCAGTTAAAGGTGAACTAAGTAACTTTTTTACCTTAACCGAACAGCTTTGGAGTCATTGTAATGTTTATATTACTGATTTCGTGTTGAATGGTGGTCGTCTCGCACCCCCCTGGTGCCTGTGAGCCGCAAAACCACCCTTGCAACTTTGGGCCAGTGAGCCGCCGGCCTCAGTGTTAGGAAGTATCGTGTGATATCAGGTCTCGCGAGGTAACGAATTGCTTTACGGCAAAAAACAGATCTGATAAAATTCTGATAAAATGAGCATCAAACAGAAATAACCCGGCGCCGTATACATGTGGTGTTGGGGGCGCGCAGCTCTTAAAGGGGCCATACCTTATTTCCACTCGATACAGCGTCCATCCTACTGAACAGGTACCGGTGTACAGGGGGAGGGGATCCGGCCGTGAGTGCGAGCCATCTCTGCGTGAGTGCTATTCACGACAGTACAAGTGCTCCACAGTGACTCTAGGGGTCGCTGTTTGATAAAAACGGAATTCCTACTTAGTGCTGCTTTAAAATAAGCCAAAAAAAAAATGTGTTCCCCTTCATCTCCGTTTAAGCGCTTTTCTGCGGCACTGCTTTGCTGTGCGTTTCATATTAGCTAATAGCTACCGTCTGTGTCTGTCTCATTGAGCTTGCTTGAAAAGCTTGCGCGCCAACGTCGTTCATTTCGCTGGTGACGATGCAGCCTGTGGGCAGGCTTATGAGTCCACACGTGGGGTAGAAGCCGCTGATTGGCTGAGAAGCTTTCACTCAAAGCTTTCCTCGGGGTGCTTATTGGATGAACTGCTATAATGAAAATCACTCACTACTCACTATAGGCCTGGGTCAAAATGGGCGGGCCCAGACCTAAAATGGGTGGGCCCAGGCCCACTCGGGCCCAATGATAGCGCCACGGGTAGAAGAGGATAGAGAAAAACAAAACACCGCTCACGGATTAGAAGCCTAAAAAGAGAAGTTTTTGATATAAGAGAAGATGAGCTTGAGTTTTCATCCGTCACCGTCAGGTCAGAGGTCACTCCTCCGCCAGAACTAGACTCGCGTCGTTTTTGTGCTTCAAAATCCAAGTTACCATTCACTCCCATTATAAAGCCTGGAAGAGCCAGGATATCTTTTAATATAACTCTGATTGTGTCATTTTTGTTTTTACTGTGCAGTCGTGCTATATTTGCGCACTGTCATTTACAGTATAGATTTTAAGTCATTTACACCTATAGGCTTGAGGGTAAGTCAATTTATTGGGTCATTTTGATTTTTTTGGGTGAACTATTCCTTTAAGACCAGTTAATAGTAATGGACCGAATATTATGTCACCTAATTAATATTCATGAGCATGCTGATGAGGTTTAGAATAGCCTCCACCCTCTGTGTGGCTGTACATTAACACAGGAAGGTTTTGGTTTCATCCCTTGGGACACAAAGCACTTTTTTCTCCATCTTTCCATGTCTCTCTTATTTTCTTTCTATTATTTTTGTCTATTCATCTTCCTCCTCCTCTCCTCCCGTTCCATCCGTTCCAGTCCCGTGATCACAAAGGCAGAGAGAGAAATGAGTCGTATTCTGCGTGTGTGACCCAGAGAGACGTGTCCCGTGAAGTCTGATGTGTTCTGACAGGGTGTTTTGGATGTTACGAGCGCTGGTCTGATGGCCCGTGCGGGTCAGCTGTAGTTCTGGGCTCAGTCTTTGTTCTTCTCCCTGTTGTGGCCCTTTTGACAATAATCTTTGTGTGTCGCTAAAGCCGAGAGCTGCTGCTGTCCACAATGAGAGCTCTGTGCTGTCGGGAGGGGGAGGACGCCGAGGTTATTTTCATCATGCATTCGAAAAGGTCCTTCACACTGACAGCCATTTGTAGCCGTTTTCAATAAGAGTTGGTGATTTCAGACAACATGAGTGACAGTGATTCTTTGTAGTGCAACAAAATCGAGCAGTTTTCTGCAGCATCACACTGGGTAGCTCCGCCCACAGCGATATCTCATTGGTTCAAAGTTCCTCTCCATTAAAAAAAAAAGCAATATACTGTATATATATATATATATATATATATATATAATGTGTGTGTGTGTGTATAGTCTCACTGTTTCCACAAAAATTTAAGCAGCACAACTGTTTTCAACATTGATAATAATCAGAAATGTTTCTTGAGCATCAAATCATCATATTAGAGTGATTTCTGAAGGATCATGTGACACTGAAGACTGTAGTAATGATGCTGAAAATTGAGCTTTGATCACAGGAATAAATGACATTTTAAAGTATATTCAAATAGAAAATGTTATTTTAAATAGCAATAATATTTCACAATATTACTGTTTTTGCTGTATTTTGCCTTGGTGAAGTAAAATAAAATAAATTAAAAATGCAAAAATGTTTCTTCAGGTTTGGGCATGTCTGTAGTCATTATAATGAGCTTTATTTAAAAGCAGTTTAAGTCTATGATATGTCCTAATTAGTGTGTGTGAACTCTACATGTGATCTTCTGGTTGCTAGGCGATGGAGAGCAAGCTGCTGGTTGGTGGGAAGAACATTATTGATCACACTAATGAGCAACAGAAGATGATTGAACAGAAAAGACACGAGATTGCCGAACAGGTAACATGCATAGTTTTAATGTTTACATTACACGAGTGGTGCAAAAACGACACACTTCACCGTTAGCATCTGTATGGCATTCTGTGCTCATTATTAACACACAACTGTGTGTGTAAATCTGTGTGTGTGAGCAGACACGCAGAGAGAGGGAAATACACCAGCAGGTGTTGGATCAGGATGAGGAGACATTAGAACTCAGAGAAACGTTCTCCTCACTGCAACAGGAGGTGGAAGCAAAGACCAAGAAACTCAAAAAGGTGAGACACACACACACACACACACACACACACACACACACACACACACACACACACAGCTGAACTGAGGTGAAGCGTGGTGTAGATTGTAGAAGCTCACATGCTGATGGCATCACATTCAGAGGTTGCTAACCATGAGAACGTCCCTCTTTTGGGACCAGTGGCTTCTAATATTAAACAATTGCGAATACTTATAATTATATATAATAAGATCATTATTTTCTGTTTTTATTTGGAACTTGATGGATGCAAAGCAAAAGATTATTCATAACAAATGAATGTCCTTTATTTTATTTCACAGTCCACCATGTTTATTTATTATTTACAAATGTCTCTTGAGCATCAAATCATCATATTGGAATGATTTCTGAAGGATCATGTGACACTGAAGACTGGAGTAATGATGCTGAAAATTCAGCTTTAATCACAGGAATAAATTCTATTCTAATATATATTAAAATAGAAAACAGTTATTTCAAATTATGATAATATTTCACAACATTCCTGTTTTTGCTGTATTTTTGATCAAATAAATGCTTGGTGAGCAGAAGAGACTTCTTTTAAAACGTTAAAAAATCTTACTGACCACAAACTTTGCCCATCCCAACATTACCAGTAATGCTCATTAACAAGCGTTACATCACGACTCCTTTGAATGAGACTTAAGCAACCACTGAATATTGAGTGACAGTATATAAATATGGCAGCACTGAGTTCCCTAACTCCTCTGTTCCTTTTGCTCCCCCTTAATTCTGGACCTTTGACATTTGACCCCTGGAACACCCCTGACCCCACATCCCCGTGAAAATTAAACACCTTTTATCAGTACAAGAAGGTTAGTTTGTTTTACACTTGCTCGGTTGCTGACTGTCAGAGGCTACGAGGCTAATGCTAAACGCTAGTCTTGGCATTAAAGCTTTCACAGCAACTAATTCAAGCCGACCTGCATTAATCGTCATGGCTACCGCTGGCATGCTAACCACCAAAACCCTCTTTCTGAATCTCTGATGACTTCAGAGATTTAATTCTCAATAGTAGACAGGCAAAACAGGACTGAGCTCCACCGTTCCCATCTGCACGCCACTTCCTGGCAGAACTCATGACTTCCTGTTGGGTTGTAATGGAGTAACTGTTGTGATGTTCAGTGGAACACACTGCACCTGACCTCACCTTTACATGCTCCTTCCTGAGCTTCACCTTTAACCCCTGCTGCGTCACACTGGACGTCTCACACTAACACTGACGGGATCACTGACCACAGTCATAGCATGATGAGCTGATGATGAGATAGATGGATACATGGATGAAGAAGATGAGGATGATGAGGAAGGATGTATGGATGGATGATGAATGTGATGAAGCATGGATAATGATGATGATGAAGATGGATGATGATAATGATGAAGGCTGAATGATGATGAAGGATGATGGAGGACAGGTGATGATGGATGGATGATGAAGGATGAATGAGGATGATAATGGAGGACATGATGATAGATGGATGAGAGGATGATGATGATGATGATGATGGAAGGATGGATGGATGGATGATGATGATGAAGGACTGATGATGATGATGTATGGATGGATGATGATGAGGACATGATGATGGATGGATGAGAGGATGATGATGATGATGAGGAAGGATGTATGGATGTATGTAAGATGATGATGAAGAACAGATGATGAATGAATGGATGGATGATGATGAAGAACAGATGATGAATGGATGGATGATGATGATGGAGGACAGATGATGGATGGATGATGAAGGATGAATGATGATGATGATGATGATAATGGATGGATGAGAGGATGATAATGATGATGAGGAAGGATGTATGGATGGATGTATGATGATGATGAAGAACAGATGATGATGGATGGATGATGAAGGATGAATGAGGATGATGATGGAGGACATGATGATAGATGGATGAGAGGATGATGATGATGATGATGATGATGATGAGGAAGGATGGATGGATGATGATGATGAAGGACTGATGATGGTGATGTATGGATGGATGATGATGATGAAGGATGAATGATGATGAGGACATGATGATGGATGGATGAGAGGATGATGATGATGATGAGGAAGGATGTATGGATGTATGTATGATGATGATGAAGAACAGATGATGAATGGATGGATGATGATGATGGAGGACAGATGATGATGAGGAAGGATGAATGATGATGAGGACATGATGATGGATGGATGAGAGGATGATGATGATGATGATGATGAAGGACAGATGATGATGATGTATGGATGGATGATGATGATGATGATGGAGGACATGATGATGGATGGATGAAAGTATGATGATGATGATGGGTGTATGGAGGATCACATGTCTCTCTCTCTCTCTCTCTCTCTCTCTCAGCTGTATGCGAAGCTTCAGTCTCTGAAGGCTGATATTCAGGATGTGAACGATGAGCATGTGAGGAGTCGACAGGAGCTGGAACAAACACAGAATGAACTGACCCGAGAGCTCAAATTCAAGTGAGTCTGACTCTAAACACACGGCTACCGGTGATGACGTCTCTGAAGGGAAGCTTTGTCAATGGATTGTAGGAACAATTCTGTCTCCAAAATAAAATGACAGCTATACACACCGCTGCATATAGTGCTTACAGCTCATGTGTCTGTCTCTGTAGATATCTGATCATAGAGAACTTTATACCTCCTGAAGAGAAGAATAAAATAATGAACAGACTTCAGTTTGACACGGAGGAAGACCAGTGGAAGTTTCAGCCTCTCGTCCCGGCAGAGAAGTGAGTGAACATCGATCTATACATGTGATGCATCGGATCAGAACACATCAAACGCATTATTGCATATTTTAGAATAATAGTAAAGTTATAAAAATTATGAAACAACACTAGTGGAAATATGGGAGTTATGTAGAGTTATACCATGGTCTGGGTGAATACTCGATTCTGATTGGCTGCAGGGTGTCCATTAAAAAGTGATAGAGGACACCTAGTAAAGGAGTTCTGGTGAAACTGACTGTTTACTGTTCGAAATTAATAAATAAATGCGCTGGCTACATCAGCTGTGAGTAACCATAGCAACAGGCAGTCAAAGTATCCGTTTACAATTTTTTTTTTTTTTTTTAACTATGCCTACCTGTGTGTTTTAACTATAGGTAAAAAAAAACGAAAGTGTAACGGCCATGGCTAGACAACCCTAACTTACATGAAAAAAATACGTTAACTTTCTGGCTCGTAAGTTAGCTAAACTGAAGGGTTCGACGAGCTGAGCGGACCATAAATATCTCCGTTTGCTAAATAAACCGTCAGGCGTAACCAGGGAAACCAAGTTATTGTTTGTAAAAACTTTAGATTTTCGATTGTAAAACTAATTAAAATATTAACTAATGTTTTAAAAATGTGTTATTTGGCAAGTGACCATGATATAAGCGGGTTAATGTCCATTGTCAGGTATTAATGGACTAACGGACTCCGCTGCGCGTCGGACGGTTCACGCCTCGCCGGCATCCATTAATACCTGACAATGGACACCTCGTCATGCATTAACCCTTACTTAATTTTTAGTTTTGTAACAAAATATATATATAGGCAAAAATGTTTATTTGTTTACAAAAGCAAAAGCCTTAAAGGCAGGGTAGGCGATTTGTTCTAGAAACATTTTTTTGTTATGCTGGTTGAAAGTCTCTCCACATCCTGATAGCAATCACTAAGTGAGATGGTATAAATGTATTTATATATGTATATATATTGTCTGTGGAAGGCGTAGGACCACAACATGTTCGTCCAATCATTGCATTTGGTCTGAGTGCAGTGATACGATGTCCTATCTGACTGTCAATGTATTTCCATACCTCCGCCGCTCGCGCCGTTTACAGTTCCTCCTGAACCAAAACAACGAGCGAATGCTTCGTTCACGCCATAACTACTGTAATTTGGAAGAGATGGAAACCAGGGGCGGAGCCAGACGATGTAAACATTCGGGGCTTAGCCCAAACCTAGGGGGGTCCGGGGGCATCCTCCCCCGGGGAGATTTTTTTTCCCATTTACGTCAGCTAAATGCACTATTTTTCAGGCTGTTTGAGATAATAGAATGCCTAAAAATCTATACACTATCTGGGAAAATGATGATACTAAAAAAATGATGATAGATAGTTAAAAAAAAAAAAAATCACCCAGTAGAGCCTACAACCTATTTTGTATTTAATTGTTCTCCAGCTGCAGTCAATCCAAAACACCAAAAATGTTAAGGATGACTCCATTTTCACCCCTGGCAAATAAAAACAGGCAACTGACTATTTTTAAGTTGGCCTACATGGGTAAAATTGGAATTTGGTGTAAACATCATTATTAATCTTAAGTTCAGTTCTGTTTAGTTTGTGCTTAGCTGACAAATTTGCTAACGTTACATCAGAATCCATGCCATAATAATTTAGGCTGGTCTACTAGCAAACAGCAAATGCTGCAGTGCCAAGTAAATGTGCTCTTCAATACTCTGAATCGATTATCAGTCCAACAGAAGAACATTTACTAAAATTATATTTCTTTGGGAAATTGCACAGTATGATAAACAACATGACCATATATTATTATGTTACGGTACTTTATTTGTTTGACTACTGGTCACGTCTGACGCTGCTTCTGAATCTCTCTCCTGCCGGTGAAGTTTACTGTTAGTGTTCCGTATAAAACACTTAGTTATGTCCATATTAACTTTAGCCGGTTAGCCAGTAAGCTCGCTACGACGCCGGTGAAACATACAACAGCCCGCCAGCCCCTAATGACAACCATAGGTCAGTAAAAGACGACGAAGAAGAAGATTTATATTCTTCTTCGTTAGTTTTTATTGGCAGTTGGCAAACAAGCTGAGTGATGCGCGATGCATTGAAGTCCGCCACCACGCCGCATGGTAATAGAGCTTTTGTTTAATTTTTTGCCGCTCCAGACAGAAAGACTGAGAGGAAATGAAACAAAGTTGAAGTTATTTTAAAAAACCTAAAAGATTCGGGGCTTTTGACAAAACATTCGGGGCTTAAGCCCAATTAGCCAATTAGAAAATTGCCTACCCTACCTTTAAGAATCATGGTACTTCAAAAATACCATGGTATTATACCATAGTACTTCATGTAAGTGACGTCATTGTCTGACACAGGGTTATTATCATTAACTAAAACTAAAACCATAAAAAACATTTTCTTTACTTGAAATTAAATAAACGTGAACTGAAATAAAATAAAATATTACAAAAACATATTTTATTACAGCTAATTCCAGGGCAAAAATTCTAATTTCCGTTTAGTTTTACTAAGATAACTAAAAGAAAATAAACAAACAAACAATTTTTTTTTATAAAAATTTAGACATTAAAAAAAAAAAAATCTTTTTTTTTTTACTGAAATGAAAAGGAAAAGGAACCAATAAAATCTAATTCAAAATATTAACAAATACTATAATAGTATAGCAATGATCTGACATGAGTGGTGTAGTGCTTCACTGAGCAGAACAGCTCACGTACGGATAATGAAGTTGATGTTCTTGCCTGTTTTCTGTGTTTCTGACAGTAAATTCACACAGATGAACAGAAGACCCGTCTCTGCTGTGGGATACAAGCGACCAATCAGCCAGTACGCCAGGGTTGCCATAGCGATGGGAGCTCATTCCAGATACAGGGTATGTTTATGGAGAGAGAGATAGATAGATGGAAGAGTAGGAAGAAAAAGTGGAACGTAGCCAGAAGATGTTAAATTAAATGGTTGAAATGAGTTCATGTGCTGGAGCCACGTGATTACGTGCACTGCAAAAAATGTGTTAAGGATGTTTAGACTTTTTTTTTTTTACTTTTAAAAGACAGAAATACTAATAAGAAGAGTGCAGTTTACTTGATTGTCCCTTGTGTCCCTCCATAGGCGGAGAATATAATGGTTCTGGAACTGGACATGACTCCTCCTGTCGTGTTTCAGCTGGACCTCCCGAGGTCTCCATCTCGAGATGTTCTGTTGGACAACACCAGTTACAGAGAGAAATCAGCGTCTGGACGGGTCAGAAAATCTCAGTCATGGTCAGTAAAACTTCAAAGTATTCAACGGCTTGTTAACACAAATATCTAATCAGCCGGCGCATCACATGGCAGCAACTCAATGTAGTTTAGGCATGAGCTGCATCCGAAATCACATACTGTATAGTAGGTAGTTAGTGACCGTTAAAGCTGCAGTCCGTAGCTTTTCCTCTTTGTCGCCATCTCTCTGTTCGAAATCTGTAACTGCAGTGATTCGCGGAATTATCATCTTTACGTGGGTTGTAAATCGGCATGAAACAGCGCGGATGAACACAGTGCTTTGAGGCGAGTGCTGCTGTCAGTCACCGCGCTGTGTGGATACTGGCATACAGAATCACAGATTCACTTTTTGAAAGTTTGACCACCCTTCTGAACAAGTAAGTAAAATCCATTTTTGTTCTGACCAACTAAGGGGGAAAAAGCATTCGACATGATAAGCTTCGTTAGATTTAATCAACGCGATTTACAGCAACCGTGCAAATTATAGCCTAGTTTGTTCTCAAATTGTTCATGTTAACAACATCAGCATTGCGTGACTAATGTTAAATTTAATGTGTTTTATGGTTACATGTGTAGTTCAGAATTCATATTCTCCATAATAGCAAAACGAGAAAGGCACAACAAAGGAAACTCCATAACTGTGTGAATTAAGAAAACGTACTGTTACACGATTGAACTATTGAAATGTCTTACTTGTTCAGCAGAAAAAAGCTGTCTCTTCTTCCGTTTCGAACCCCTTCAAAACACGGAGTTCACGCACTTTTCAAAAGCCCCGCCGATGTTTAAATCCTTGTGTTCGCATGAGACGGTTTCTTTCTCTTTCTCTAGCCACCTTAAATCCGAAGTACGAAGTCTTTTGGGTTTTATAACAGTAGCGCAGTATAGCCGGCTAGCCGAAACTCCTTCTTTATGTGTACGGGTGTGACGTATTGACGCAAAGACATGCTCGAATTTCCCGCGGAAACCCACCAGTACCACTGGAATTAAAATCATTATTACAAGCTAACCGTTTTGAATCTAGCTATGGCAAGCAGATAGTTTTGACCACTGGCAGAATAAGTTTTTTTTAATATAATTATTTTGGATTATTTTTAACTTAAAAAAAGTTACGGACTGGAGCTTTAAAAAAGTATGTTCTATATAGTATGAATGAAATTCAGACGTACGACATTCGCCATGTTGTCACTGTCATGTGATCTACCAGCGCCAGTTGCGTCACTTCACTGCCATGCACAAATCCTGTGGCCTCATGGGATAGTAAAGTGTCTAACAAATGCACACTTCAGAACCTCGCTGGAAGTAGTAGGTCATCTGGGGACTTTTCGCCTAGTGTTTTATGAATACTATGAATTCAGACATACTTCTTTTGTCACAAAACGTTTCGCCTACTATATAGTATGAAAGTAGGGATATTTGGACACAGCGATGGTCAAGACGATCTGCTGAAATTCACACTGAGCATCAAAATAGGAAAGAAAGGTGATTTAAAAACCTTTGTATGTATGTATATATATATATATATATATTAGTGCTGTCAAATCGATTAATCGCATCTTACATAAGTTTTTGTTTATATAATATATGTGTGTAAATATAATTATATTTATATGTATTACACATAAATATACTGTATATGTATATGTGTGTGTACACACCCATATATTTATGCACACATATATATATATATATATAAATTTGTGTGTGTGTATATATATATATATATACACAAATTACACACACACACACACACAGACATGCACACACACACGATATATATTAATATACTGTATATAGAAACATATATTTACACACACACACACATATATAAATATATATATTAGTGCTGTCAAATCGATTAATCGCATCTTACATAAAAGTTTTTGTTTATATAATATGTGTGTATAAATATAATTATATTTATTTGTATTATACATACATATACTGTATATGTATATGTATGTGTACACACCCATATATTTATGCACATATATATATATATATACACTCACCGGCCACTTTATTAGGTACCCCATGCTAGTAACGGGTTGGACCCCCTTTTGCCTTCAGAACTGCCTCAATTCTTCGTGGCATAGATTCAACAAGGTGCTGGAAGCATTCCTCAGGGAGTTTGGTCCATATTGACATGATGGCATCACACAGTTGCCGCAGATTTGTCGGCTGCACATCCATGATGCGAATCTCCCGTTCCACCACATCCCAAAGATGCTCTATTGGGTTGAGATCTGGTGACTGTGGAGGCCATTTTAGTACAGTGAACTCATTGTCATGTTCAAGAAACCAATTTGAAATGATTAGAGCTTTGTGACATGGTGGAAGTAGCCATCAGAGGATGGGTACATGGTGGCCATAAAGGGATGGACATGGTCAGAAACAATGCTCAGGTAGGCCGTGGCATTTAAACGATGCCCAATTGGGACTAAGGGGCCTAAAGTGCGCCAGGAAAACATCCCCCACACCATTACACCACCACCACCAGCCTGCACAGTGGTAACAAGGCATGATGGTTCCATGTTCTCATTCTGTTTACGCCAAATTCTGACTCGAACATCTGAATGTCTCAACAGAAATCGAGACTCATCAGACCAGGCAACATTTTTCCAGTCTTCAACTGTTCAATTTTGGTGAGCTCTTGCAAATTGTAGCCTCTTTTTCCTATTTGTAGTGGAGATGAGTGGTACCCGGTGGAGTCTTCTGCTGTTGTAGCCCATCCGCCTCAAGGTTGTGCGTGTTGTGGCTTCACAAATGCTTTGCTGCATACCTCGGTTGTAACGAGTGGTTATTTCAGTCACTGTTGCCCTTCTATCAGCTCGAACCAGTCTGGCCATTCTCCTCTGACCTCTGGCATCAACAAGGCATTTCCGCCCACAGAACTGCCGCTCACTGGATGTTTTTTCTTTTTCGGACCATTCTCTGTAAACCCTAGAGATGGTTGTGCGTGAAAATCCCAGTAGATTAGCAGTTTCTGAAATACTCAGACCAGCCCTTCTGGCACCAACAATCATGCCACGTTCAAAGTCACTCAAATCACCTTTCTTCCCCATACTGATGCTCGGTTTGAACTGCAGGAGATTGTCTTGACCATGTCTACATGCCTAAATGCACTGAGTTGCCGCCATGTGATTGGCTGCTTAGAAATTAAGTGTTAACGAGCAGTTGGACAGGTGTACCTAATAAAGTGGCCGGTGAGTGTATATATAAATGTGTGTGTGTGTGTATATACACACACACACACACACACACACACACACACACACACACACACACACACACACACACACACACACACACACAATATATATATTAATATACTGTATATACAAACATATATTTACACACACACACACACACACATATATATATATACTGTGTATATATATATATATATATATATATATATTATTTTAATTAAATATTATTTTATATAATTTATAAACCTAAGTGATTCGTTTTTTTCAAAGGATTTATGTTTGATAAGATTAAATTAGGATTATAGTGTGATATGGTCTATTGGGTAATCCGAGATTAATTTATAATCTCTATAACATAATGCTCATGTGTACATATTTGAATCTCAGTGCAGATTTCTCAAGTATTTATGCGCTATTTTTAGAACGGAATACTTTCTCATACCATTTCTGCACATTTTTGTACGCATAAAATACTAAGACCTACAATGCTTGACTTGTGCCTGACTTGACTTCCCATTTATAGTTTAAATCTATTTATTGTGTTAAAAATAAAACAAAAACCCTTTAATGCTCCACTAGCTGCACTAACATGTACTTAATAAAACCACAGTGTTGCATAATTCAGTGTAAAATGTATTTTACATACTATTTTTACACATTTAAAGTACATTTCGGAAATTGTAGTAAGTCATCTGGGTATTTGTGCATTCATTTGTATACTAAATGTAGTAGTATGCTGTTGGTCTCAAAATAATGACCTCACATGTTTATTTTGATTTATTTCATTATTTGATCAGGGACAATGCACAAACAAACATTAGTCTAAAGAAGAAGAGATGTCATGTGCCAGGTTATAGCAAAAAATGCTAATTTCCACAGGTTGATGTTATACTTACAAAAATTCATTAAATATATACAGAATATTGTATATGTGTTCGCAGGTGCCAGTCTCCGCATGTCATTTCCTCCTCAAGCTCCACCCTCTCTCTGGCATCCTCAGGGTCCCACAGCTTGCCACACCCACAAAACATCACCATGGCAACAGCCCAGGAATGAGACTTGGAATTACCATATTACCGCCCCCTGTAAGGCATAAACAATAGTCAATCAATCCAACATAGACTGAGGAAGACGGATGAACCGTCCGTCACCATTATCAAAGACTTGGAACAAGATGGAAACTGCTCGGGATCTAATCTGCAGTTTGATATAACAGTGAATGTGGGACTAGACCCATTCCAACCCATCAGGACCAATAAAACGATTAATATTAGTAAAATTATTCACATTTCTTACTCTTTTGCTCTCTGCTCCTCAGGACAGTGAAGACACTTTGATTACTACCATCAACAGCACTGAAGCTTTGCCTCACCTGACACCGGAGGCTAGTTAAGCTAGTTATGTTCATTCATTCTGCTGCTTCCAAAACCGTGGGTCAACCTCAGTGTTTATGTACTGACCAGCACAGGTCCGATCCAGGAGTAGAGCCACACACACCTCGAATGACGGAAGCCAAAACGGACGGGGCTTTGCGGTCGCTCACTTCCTGCTGTAAAGAAAAGAGCTGAGCGAGAGGAATGTCTCTCTTTCTATCTGCATGTCTTACTGTATGTGTGTGTCTTTGTGATTCTGATCAGGGTTCTGGACGAGAGGCGGCTGATGGGCTGGAGGAAGGATCTACAGGGTTCCCACGGGCACATGGAAAACATGGAAATGTCAGGGATTTTGATTGGTTTTCCAGGCCTGGAAATGAATAAAATGTTAAAAGTTAAGGAGATTTAATTTATGCATTTTTTCAATATAAAATATTAACATAATGTTATATAAATATATAAACATGAAACAGAATTGTAAAAAAAAAAAGTATGATAAAAAAAAAAAAACAGGTATCATAATATATAGTGTGTGTGTGTGTGTGTGTAGCCTATATATATATATATATATATATACACAATCAGTGGCCACTTTATTTAGGTGCACCTTTCTAGTACCAGGTTGGACACCAGAACTTGCCTTCAGAACTGCCTTAATTCTTCGTGACACAGATTTAACAAGGTGCTGGAAACATTCCTCAGAGATTTTGCTCCATATATTGTCATAAGAGCATCACACAGTTGCTGCAGAAATATCATCTGCACATCCATGATGCAAATCTCCCGTTCCAGCACATCCCAAAGCTGCTCTATTGGATTGAGATCTGGTGACTGGAGGCCGTTTGAGTTTAGTGAACTCATTGTCACGTTCAAGAAACCATTGATTTGAGCTTTGTGACAGGGCGCACTATCCTGCTGGAACAGGCCATCAGAAGATCTGTGGTCATAAAGGGGTGAACATGGTCAGCAATAACACTCAGGTAGGCCATCACACCAGCAGCCTAAACCGCTGATACAATGCAGGATGGATCCATGCTTTAATGTTGTTTACGCCAAATTCTGTGACCCTACGTTCTGAATGTCACAGCAGAAATCGAGACTCATCAGACCAGGCAACATTTTTCCAATCTTTTGTCCAGTTTTGTTAACCCCGTGTGAATTGTCTCCTCAGTTTGCTGTTCTCAGCTCACCGGTGTGTTTCTTCTGCTGTTGCTCTTCTGCTTCGAGGTTTGACGTGTTGTGTGTTCAGAGATGGTCTTCTGCAGACCTCGCTTGTATCGAGTACTTATTTGAGTTACTGTTGCCTTTCTATCAACCAGTCTGGTCATTCTCCTCTGATCTCTAGCGTCAACAAGGCATTTTCTCCCTCAGAACTGCCGCTCACTGGATATTTCCTCTTTTTCAGATCATTCTCTGTAAACCCTAGAGATGGTTGTGTGTGAAAATCCCAGTAGATCAGCAGTTTCTGAAATACTCAGACCAGCCCGTCTGGCACGAACAACCATGCCATGTTCAAACTCACTTAAATCCCCTTTCTTCCTCATTCTGATGCTCAGCTTGAACTTCAGTAGATCATTGTCTTGACCAAGTCTACATGCCTAAATGCATTGAGTTGCTGCCATGTGATTGGCTGATTAGATATTTGTGTTAATGAGCAGTTAAACTGGTGTACATAATAAAGTGGCTGGTGAGTGTCTGTATATACAACGCTGTATGTGTGTGTAAAAATCAGAATTCTTTAGTATTATAAAACAAATAATGGAAATTCATTGGTTAAAAGTTGTGGGAACCCTGGCTCTAACAAGCTCTAGAGCTGAGCATGTACTATAAGAGCTGGCCTTTGCTTAGACCTTTAAACCACTGCACTAACTTAAAGCAATGAGACGCCATAGACCTACAAGACAAAAACACTCATACAAACACACACACACACACACACACATACATGCCTTGCTTACTTGATTTACTTGACTCAAAGCAGCAGCCATGTTCTCCAGCCGGACGCCCCTCTCCTGTAATTGTGAACAAATGTGGAGTTTTGTTGTGTACAGGAGATCTGCGTGTTTATGTGTGTCAGTCAGATGATGATCTGTGTGTTATCGGCGCATGGAGCTGCTCTCACTGGATGGAATTAAAAAAGCAGTTCTCTGGCAAAAGATGATTGTGTTTGTAAACGTTTCTCTAGAATTGGCATAATGCATAAATCTGATGTAGACTTAAAGGGATTTCACCCAAAAATGAACATTTTGTCATCATTTATTTGTGCCATTCCAAACCCGTAGTCTATAGTCAGTATTAAAACAATAGAAGTCAATGGAAAGTCTCATGGTGATAGAAAAACAAATATGTGTGTGTCTGAATACACATTCAAACGTTTGGGGTTTGTAAGATTTTTAAATGTGTGTTGTTGTTTTTTACAAGAGTCTCTCATGCTCACTAAGGCTTTGTTCAAAAATACAGTAAAACCGCAATATTGTGAAATATTAGTACAATTTGAAAGAACTGTTTTCTATTTTAATACATTTTAAAATATAATTTATTCCTGTGATGCAAAGCTGAATTTTCAGCATCATTACTCCAGTCTTTATTCACATGATCTTTCATAAATCATGATGATTTGCTGCTCAAGAAACATTTCTGATTATCATCAATGTTGAAAACAGTTCTGCTTCATATTTTTGTGGAAACCGTGTAGTTTTTCTTCAAGATTCTTTGATTAATAAAGTTCAAAAGGCATTTTTTTTTTTTTTTTTTTTTTTTAGATTATAGACTAACATGTCTTTGCACTGTCACTTTTATAAATTTAATGCGTCATTGATGAATACAAGTTTATTTTTCAAAACAAATCTTACTGACCCCGAACTTTTAACCATAGGCCTAGTGTAGCCTAGTGATTTTGGCTCACGCGTTTTAAATGTCAGATGGAGTCATTGAGGACACGAGTAAGACAATCTCTCTCACACACACTGTCTGGATGGAGGTTTACAGTAAGGGCTGCTGATGCAGTTTATCTCCATCTTCTCTGAATAATTAACGCACGGTTAATCGGGAGGCTGGAGGTCGCGTGTGGTGAGCTGGTGTCATGTTCTGTTTAACCTACATGCGGGTCATTTCCCTTTCATCAGTGTCACTTCACCGGCTAAAGGACTGCTCACTAAACACTCCTGCAGGTCGGGTTCATGATCCACTGGACTCTGAGAGAGGAGGAGTTTTAAGATGATGATGATGATGATGATGGAGACCTGGACTAAACGAAAAAGGTCAGTTTCACATTTCAAGCCCTGTTGAGTGATATTGTGCTCATCATGTAGGCGAACATAATGAAATAAAGTAATACAAATATAACTTACCATGACAGAGACTGGGAGAGAGACTGGAAATGCAAGAGGATCGGGTGCTTACTATAGGAATGGGCCAGAAATCCATCGCTGTTTCCATGACAACCTCTTTTTTTCCCCATGACAAGCTCTCACACACACAAACACACACATGATGTGTATTTGTGTTAGACATAACCCAAACAGTGTTGTCCCAAATCCGGGCCAGATACACGTGGATTCAATGTGTACCAGGTGTGGGCCGGATCTGGGCCGACACTATGTTTGCTGTCTGAGAATTATTTTTATAAACTGTATATTCTATCCTCTAACCCTACCCATTTTCACATTAAAAAACCCATCCCTTAGTATGATTTATACGCTGTTTTACTCATGGGTACCAAAAATGTCCCCACAAGAACAAGGATTTCGGATAGGCTACTTCCATCTTTGTGGGGACATTTAATCCCCATAATGTGGGGTTTACCAGGACACACACGCTCACGCAAATGAGTGATTAATGATTCTTAAAGATTTTTATGATTTAAATACAACCTTGCTAAACCGTTTTATTGGCATTTTAGACTGAGAGCTCTTTTCATATTATTAATAAAGTAATGTTTTTTTTAAAGACGATATTAATTTGACAGTTATTTATGATTCTGCATTTTCCAGTTTACCAGAGACTTTGAGTTTACTGAAAATCACCTCACTGTCAGCACCCTCTGCTGGATAAAACACACTGACTGACGTTCATGAAGAGAATCTCGCCTGGGTTTTTTTTAGACCAAGAAAGGTTTCATTCAATTCCTAAAGGTTTTTGGTTTTCTCTAACAGAGAAATATCAATATATATATTGGGGATAAAATGATAGTCGCCTGAAAACTCCATAATCCATGAATGAAACAAAACAAAACAAAAACAGTCTGACTGACCCATTAATGAAGTGCTGGTACCGCGTCTGACCGCTAGATGGCAGCACAACACCGTTCAAACATGACATTGCTGACCTTCAGTGAACACTACACAACTCAGAAGCGAGTCTGTTTAGACATTTATTATTATTTTTTACTGTTTATTACTTTTGTTTATCTCTTTTGTTGTTAAAAAGCCTAAGTTTGTTTACAGGTCTTAGTTGGTTTAAGCTGGCCTTCCAGCATGGCCTACCTGGTTCGTTAGGCCCTTTTCACATGACGTCACACAACTTCCGTTCTGACTCAAAGCAGTGTATGTTTACTTCCGTCAGCATAGTGGAACGCTATCAAAGAGTATTTGACGCTATTGATTTTACCCAGTCCCTTCAACACCTGCCAAAAAATACATTTAGATGATGTACAGTGACTTGCAGACACATTTCCACTTACAACACGTTCCAAACTTGACAAAGGATACAACTTCTTCATTGAGCAGTAACGTTACCTGTTTGCGTATGAAGGTAAGCATTTTGTATTGTAATTAACG